ATGACATGGAAGAGAATGCTTGTATATTCTGATAGCCTTTGCAGTAGCATACCTTTTTTAACAGGTCAGCTTTTTTTTTTTTTTAAGTAGAGTGGGAAAACAGTTATTAATTGAAGTATATGGGTTATCCTGGGGAAGCAAAAAGGAATGAGAAACGCAGCAGAACCAAGGAAATCCTTGGCTTTGTACCTGCATTCAGATGTTAAGTAGAACGCCCCTTCTTTATGCCTGTGCTTTTCAGTTGGTCACTGCTGTCTGCTGCAACTGTGAAACGAATCTGCGCCTTCCATCGCAGCGAGTTCTGACGCTTCCTGGGAATCGTCTGGGTCTCTGGTCTAAGAAAAATGCAAAAACTACTTTTCTGCCTGATGTTGTAGGAAATCCAAATCTCCTTTGCAGCACTTTTTCCCATAAAAGGACCAAGAAACTGATTTTTGTCTATTCGTTTTAGGTCAACTTAGAGAACAGCTCAGCTACCTCAAAGGAGATAACTTTTTCAGATTTACTTGCTCCGATTGCTCAGAAGATGGGAAGGAGCAATTTGAACGGCTGAGATTAACATGGCAACAAGTAAGTAAAATGTTTGTGCCAGCAGAACAACCACAGGAGTTTCTAAAATTGTTGTTTGTTGTGTATGTGCTACCTAGAAAAGGAGGATCAGGTATAGGTAACAAAGAAACACATGCATGAACTTCAGAAATTAATTAGCTAAGGATTGCCTGCATATTAGAATTGGGCATTTGGCAGGTAAATGGAAAGATAATCATACAAACCACATTCCTTTTTTTTTTTTTTTTTTTTTCCCTTTCCCCTTATGGTTGCTCGTGAATTCGTGGCTTCAGGCAGGTTTGGAAAAGCAAAATGAATGCAGTTTGGCTGCTAGGCATGAACAGTTTTTTGTGTATATGAGCAAATGTAAAACTAGTGAGGTGGCAACACACAAACAGAAAGCGTGCCAGCTCCCTGAACGCAAAGCTCCAACCCGGCTGCTTACTCACTAGCAACAGGCCTTGCTGGAATTTGCTATTTCAGCCACTTGCACACCTGAGCAATGAAAATAACTTGCATTATACAGCAACCACTGTATGGGCGGACTGATGCACATCATCTTGCTCTAAGCAGGAGGGGCAGGCAGGCAGTGCTGGCTGCCTCTGCACAAAATGAATTTGATCAGGCAGTAGCTGTTGCTCAGCGTTAAGTGTTTCCGCATGGTGAGCACCAGGCAGTATTTGTGAGACATCTGTTTGCATCCTTTGGGATAGTCGTGGTGTGTTGTCTCATAGCAGATCATTTAAAACATCAGTTGTAACTCCTGCAGTGCTTTCTCATGGTGCCCCATGCAGGGCTGTGCAGGGACAAAAGCTGGCAAAACAGTCTGTGGCTAGCAGACCGCAGCATTTCTGCAAGTTACAGATCTGGAGAGTGAAGGCTGCTAGCATTACACCCAGATCTCTTCAGAGTGGCGTGGGGAAGGGACAGACAAAATCAAAACAAGTCAGGAAGAAAGTTGACTAGTGAAGAGACTATCACCCTAGGCTTCCAGCAGCCAGAGCTGCTTCTGGGTAAGTGGAATTGAGGGAAGTGGTCAAATCAACTTACCTGAAGTAGGAAAAATGGGGATGCTGATTTCTGGATTTTTTTCAGAGTATGCGGCCTCAACAGATCCTTCTCTTTAGCCAGTTGAAAAAAGAATTGTGGGACACTGTCCCACCTGACTTAAAAACCACAAAATCCTAGATAAATAGTTATCAAACTAAGAGAGGTTGTGAGGCAGAAATAGGATAGAGGGGACATTAAAGCTGTCTATTTCCTCATTTTGGCATCTTCAGCAATGCATTCGAGAAACCCATGGCCCACTTTGAGGAGACCCATCTCCCCAAGAAAAACATTCTTGAAACTTCTGTGACAGTGAAGAGTAAGTCTCTATTGGAAGTAGTATCCAACTGAGACTCTGTGATTGTTGAAAGATGGTCCCAGCCCAGCTGATTTTAGTTGTATTCAGATGAATTGGGTAAATGTAATTAACAGTTCCTCACCTAGGATTTACTTACAAAGAGGTGTGATGTCTTTCAAACCTGCCCTTCAGTTTAATTATGTAATAGGTCAGACTGAATTTGGTTGTGGAGTACGTGAATGAGCTGTAAATGGATTGTGTTTAATGAAGATCACCTGGAGACAAACCTAATCCTTGCACACCCAGAGCAATTAGTAGATACATAACTTTACAGAGTTTCCAATGTGTTCAGTCTGAAATGCAAGTACCTAGAAAGACCATTGTCACTACCTTTCTGATGGATTGGATAGTGGGATTACCTGTGACCCTTTTTTTTATTAAAGACTTTTTCACTACCTCCACACTACATTCAGACCCCACTTGTGATATAATTTATTTATACAACCACTGCAAAAGCCTGTATCTCAGCATAAACCTGCAGAACTAGGCAGCTGTTAGTCCCCTGGGACAGAGAAATCTCTGGGAGAATGTACATCTAACAGTGGAATGACAAAAATGGGCAGCATGAAAGCAGGAAGAAGATGGATTGCAGAAATTGCCTATGTGATGTTGCAAAAATTAAGATATTTATGAGGAAGCAAAGATTTCTCTGTGTGTGGCAGTTCAGCAGATGAAGCAGAAAAGATTCACTTGTATCCAACACTTTCTGTTCCAGGTTGTCATGCTGGCAATGTACAATTTGTCTCTGGAAGGAACGGGCCGTCAGGGGTACTTCAGATGGAAAGAAGATATTTGTGCTTTTATTGAGAAACACTGGACTTTCTTATTAGGGAACAGGTAAAGATGTGATGTTTCCCTGAAGGTCTGGTTGGAGAGCCAAAGCAATTAAAACCTGTTGCACAGATGGACAAGAATCCTGTTTAATCTGGTGATATCTTTGTTGAGCCTCACTAGTGAGAAAATTGGGAGATTTAATACCGAGAACCTCAATGTAGGCATGAGGGGTGCTCCTGAGAAAGAATAAGCATTTCTTGGTGTGGAAAAACAAAACCAAGAATGTCACACAAAAGCAATGTAAATGCATATATTTTGATTTATTTCTTGTCTTCCTTTAGCATATGAACCTGCAACGCCTTTGAGTGTTTCTAAATCTAATGGGTAGGCTAGTCCTGATGTCACTGGGCTTTAAAGGAAAAAAAAAAAAAAAAGAGGTCCAGCAAAGTACCCAGTTACTTGGCTATAAAGCTTGTATGGACCAAGTTCTTCAAAAAGGCAAATTTGGCTTCATCTTTTGGATTGTTTTGGAACTTAATAAAATAGCTTTTACATAGCAGGCATTACAAACCACTGAAATGTTTTTCAGTGTGTGTAAAGAAAGAAGCTGTAAGAGGAAGAACCCTTCTCATAAAGGGCAGCCTTCGCAGCACAGTGAGTTTTGTGCTGTATAGGCAAACAGCACATTTTTTCTGAGCACGCTGAAGCTGTCAAACTGAAGTCTCACTGTTACTGCATGTTACTGAGGCAGGAAAGAAACTGAGCGAGCCTTCCAAGTTGTAGATCTGATTGACTTTGCAGCTTCTTTTCTTCCCCAGGGATTTATCTGTTGTAAGATCTCCCTTTCTCCCTAACCAGATTTGCTCTTTGGCTTTGCTTTCATTGCTTGTCTGTGCCTCCTTGCTCTGTTCTCAGAAATGTTAGTGTTTGTCCCCTCTGGAAACCACAGGGAACCTGACAGGAAGGCAGCTGATGGCCCATTGTCCCTTGCTCAGGGAGCCATCACCTCCCAGGGTTTGCTGCTGCCTTTTGAGACCTGCCCTGGGAACTGGGCACTCCTTGCTCTGATGAAGTGATTACTGGCCTCAGACTTACTCTTTCCACTTGCCTGGACAAGCCACTGGTGGAGCAGGGACGGCTGAACCGTATGTGTAGCGGTTCCAGGCATGCAATGCTTTACTTCCTCAGCATGTTAAAGTACACCTTATTCAGACTCACTGTCACGCTCTGGACTCTGATCTGGGGCCCCTGAGTTTAATCCCTCACATTGAGGATCAGCACCCCAAAGTGTGTAATCGCAGCGCTCAGACAGCAGTGAATACCTGCTTGGCCAAGCCTAGCCTGAGTACTGAGTTTTTGCTAGTGCAGGTGTGCAAAGGCGAGAAGGAATCCCGAGATCCTGTGCAAATACGGGTGTAGACCCTACACTGTGAGCCTGATTCTCTGGTATCCAAGGGAGCACCTCAGTTATGGGCTACAGGGGCAACTTTTTAATATTTCTTCTCATTTTTTTCCCCTAAACATCATGTTAGCCCTGTGAGCAGTTCTTAGAAGAACAAAAAGTTCTCTGATGCCCAGTAGAGTACACTGCCCTGCAGAGTGAAAGGCTTAAATGCAGCTCCCTGACTCCAAGGGGCCAAAAAGGTGCTTCAAAATAGTTCAGTGAGTGTGGCCGACTGGTTTATTGGCTAGTAGGGATCCTCCTCCCCACACTGCAGGAGAGGTTTTATGGCAGAAATCCCCAAGCAGAGATAGGGCTCCAGTATATATTGTATACATGTGTCTGTGGGACAAGCATCATACTCTGTTACCTTGCTGCTTCCTGCAGCTCTGTTGTCCTCAGGGATTTAGTTTCCAGGCCCCTAACTCTGCTTCTCTGCAGTGTCTGACAAGGCTGCAGCTATGGAGGGCAGGGTGGTCAGATCCCAAATCCCTCAAAGTAGTCAAGGCAGACATTTAAATTAAGTTTGTCTTTCCTTCTGTGTGAAGTGATACCTTTCCCTTGCTTCTCCCATCCTGTACACCCAGAGTCCTGTTTGCCCTCTTCGCTAATGGACTATGGCTCTGCAGTGTCAGGTCAACACAGCTATCACGAGGATCCTGTTTCCGTTCATGTGTCGTCAGATTGTTAGCAAAGGTAGCAACGTCAGCATTTGAAAGCTGGGGGTTCCAGTGGCAGGGTAGAGCTCTCATCTGTAGGCTCAGCATATGGCAGCTCATTGACAAAATAAAAATTGTGTCTCACCATGCTGCATTTGCATGGCGTTTATGGAGCACATGTACACAGCACTTTGTGCACCAGAGCCCGCCAGTACATTGTAGCTTGCCCTTCAGAGTGGTTCTCTCTTTGAGAATGTAACAAATAGCTTTAGCCTCTTTGAGGATGGGGGTACAGGGACTAAGTCATCCCCCTGCATCAGTGCCAGTAGCACTCTGCCCTTTCCATCTTGGCAGAGGGAGGAGGCTTCAGGATGAAAGCAGAGCTGGCGAGTGGGGACCTAACGCTTGTTTTCCCCTCTCCCACCGAAGGAAAAAGACCTCAACATGGTGGAGCACAGTCGCTGGCTGTCTCTCTGTGGGGAGCCCCTTGTTTTTCCGCTCAGGGGCACAGGAATTTGGTGAACCGGGATGGTGGAAACTGGTTCATAATAAACCCCCAACAATGAAACCTGAAGGAGAGAAGCTGTCTGCGTCTGCACTAAAGGCAAAAGGTAACTCTTTCTCTGATGGTGTGTAGGTTCTTGGCTGGGCCAGAGCTGACAGAGCTGGAAGACATGAGAAAAGTTTACTTGAAGCCATGTGTTTGTGTGCATGGACAGTTTCTTTGTTTTGCTCTGCTCTAATGGTTGACGTAAGAGGACTATGGTGCATATACTGTAGTGTGTGAAGCCTGTTATATTTTATTACCTTTTTGCATTGTGCTAACTGATTTAAAAGCTTTTGGGATTTGTGCAGGTTTGGGGTTTTTTTTAGCTGAAATCTACAATTTTTCTGCTCCTCTTTAAGCTGGGGAGGGTTTTTTTTATCTTTTGTCACTAGATGCAAACGCCCTTCTGTGCAGAGGAGCAGGACTGGGGCTTTAATGAGGCTTCAGTGGTGCATTGGCTTTATGCTACATGTCCTGGAGTGAATTTCTTGTATATATTGAAAATACATCTTCTAAGATTTGTAGTCATTGTGTTTTTCTGACCGTATAGTATGTATCCAGTGACTGCAGGAGCTTAGTGTCTGTTAGAATAAGCAAACTACTTCTTTAGCAGCTTCAAAGCCACCTCTGGATCCCATTATTACCGTGGAAGGACTCAGGAAGCGTGTAAGCCGCAATCCAGTTGAATCAGCTATGGAGCTGAAGGAGAAGAGGTCTCGTACTCAGGAAGCCAAGGATATTCGGAGAGCCCAGAAGGAGGCAGCTGGCTTCCTGGACCGGAGTACTTCCTCCACTCCCGTTAAATTCACCAGTCGAGGCCGTCGTCCCGATATCGTCCTTGAGAAAGGAGAGGTGATTGACTTCTCCTCCTTGAGCTCTTCAGATCGCACTCCTCTGACAAGCCCTTCTCCTTCCCCATCTCTGGACTTCTCTGCTCCTGGCACCCCAGCCTCGCATTCAGCTACTCCCAGCCTTCTCTCAGAAGCAGATCTCATCCCAGATGTCATGCCACCACAGGCTCTGTTTCATGGTAAGAGATGCCGTGGTTTTGGTTTACCTATGAGCCACACGTAGTTGTCTAGGAAGATGCTATTAAAAAAAAAAAAACTCTCAATGAAGCTGCAGGATCTTTTCAAGGTAAGATGGAAGGTAACCGGTAATACTATGTTTGTCTTAGTTGCATATAAGCCTAAAACTAATCCAGTTGTCCATAGTTGTATCGCCAGCTTTTAAGGCCAGAAGAAACCACTGTTATCGTCTTCTGAGGGATCCTGAAAACAGTGGGTAGAAGACTTCACCTAGCAATTGCTGCACCACTCACCATAAGCATTTCACTGCATCACAGATTACACTGTTAGATAGCAACTCCAATTTTCTCTCAAATGTTTTTAAATGAGAGAAATTTTATTCTCATGGTAATGTTCCAGTAGCTTCATGAGTTTGAACATTCCAATTAACAGATGCTACATTTCAGTCAGGTTGCAAAGCAGTGATGCAGGCTGAATGCTGTTAGTTCCTTAAGAAGCCAGACCTCAATCTAATCAGTAAAGTGGAGAATAAATCACTTTTTGATGGAAGGAAGAACAGTCAGGTTCTGTAGAGGGACAAATCCTGTGCTTCTGTAACTCCTAATTGTTCCTTCAGATTAAACAGAACTTCTCCAGGGTATGCTAGCTGAAGGTATAGCTCAGCAGCTTGACCGTTTGATCCCCTGTCTTCAGGAATTTTCAACAATTTAACATTTGTCAAAGAGCACAAGCTTGCAGCTCAGGAGAGCTGTGTTTTCAGATGCCAAACTGCAAGACACCTTAGGAGCAGGATTGATTCTGTGTCCTGAGATCGGACTCCTTACAGTGTCTCCTGTCCAAAATGAGGAGGTCCAGAAGTATATAGAAAATGGAGTGTGTTGGGTAGACTCACCTTATTTATCCTTAGCAGAAAAGTCCTGTGACAACCCTTTGTGAATTGGGGCTTTGACGTTTACATTTTTTCCTGGATTATTTTGATCTGTTGAACAGATGATGAGGAGATGGAAGGAGATGGAGTCATAGACCCAGGAATAGAGTACGTGCCCCCTCCCAGTGGGACAGCTGGTGCTGGCGCTGTGATAGCCAGTAGAAAAAAAGTGAAGACAGCTGAGCAGATCAAGCAAGAGGTGGAGAGTGAAGAAGAAAAAACAGAAAGGATGGAAGGTGACAGTGGTGAAGATCCTGAAGAGTCAAATGCGTTGCTGCAGGTGAGGGGGCGAGACAAGAGGAAGCCACAGCTGGAGAAGGATGCTAAACCCAGAGCTCCCAAGCATACCTCTGTTAGCATCTATGAGGAAAAGCTGCTGCTGAAGAGACTGGAAGCCTGTCCCAATGCCATGAGCATGACCCCAGAGGCCCGGAGACTGAGACGCAAGCTGATAGTCAGGCAGGCCAAGAGTGAAAGAGGACTTCCACTCTTTGACTTGGACCAGGTTGTGAATGCTGCACTGCTCTTGGTTGATGGGATTTATGGAGCCAAAGAAGGAGGTGTTTCCAGATCCCCAGTAGGGCAAGCAACGTACAGAACTACTAGCCAGGACTTCAGGATCTTGGACAGATACCAGGTGAGTGTTTCCAAATCTAAGTGAGCTTTTGGCACTGATTATTTTAGAGCTTTTGCTGCAGACAGCAGTGTCACCTTGAGGTTATCTGACGCCCAAAGTGAAAAGGATTATGTGAATAAGACTCATTTTGACTTGGGGCTGTGTCCCCACCAATGTTTTTACAAGCCCCTTTCTTCTTGGACGTGCTCGTACAGCACAGCTGTCTATCAGTGTTGACACCACAAATGTCTATGTATTTGTACTCCAGCCCTGCCCAGACACTGATGGTGGAGGCCTGGAAGTACCCAAATAGGCGGTTGCTCTTTCATGCTATGTAGAAGGGAGATCACTTGCAGCGCTTTTCTGAGTCGTGTGTGCGGCTCATAGGTTTGGGTGCTACATCTGAGAGTGCGCAGCAGAGTCCTCTGAGGTGGGACCATTATGCTGTGGGTCCAGTGCATCCTGAAAGGCCCTTATTCTCCCTTTGTTGGTATGATTCCTCTGTGTTAAGTCATTGAGTAATCTTCCTGAAATGTGCTGCATTTTTTTTGTACATATAGACAATGCTGCCTGCCATGAAGGGATATCGACAGCAGACCACAAAGTTTCTGTATCGACTGGTAGGCTCAGAAGACCTGCTGACAGACCACAGTATTGTCAGTCCTTACACATCCCGTGTCCTGAAACCTTACATCAGGTACAGGTGGTCAGAGGTTGAATTTGCTCTGTGGGCTTGTGAACCGACAGCCCACGGAGAGGACACCTTTCTGGGGCAGTGCTCCTCACTTATCCTTGAAGTACAACCCAGTATACTGTGGTAACCCTGAAAGGACAGTGTTTCATTTAGCTGAGTAGTTAAACTGTCTTTGTGTTGGGAAGGGGAATCTCCAAGAGAGGGCAGGGCAGAGAGGGAATCACCATAGTCATTCAAGGCAAGTTGCACCTGCTTTTGGGTCAGAACCATGATTTTCTTGCTCCTGCTGTAAGGAGAGGCTGGCTTGGCATGCTGTGGATCCGGGAAGTGTCCTGGCCTCTGGCACAAGGGTGTTTCTGTTTAGCTGGGTGCTATTTTCCCTCGTGAATGGAAGACTGTTCTTTTGTTCCAAGTTGAACATGTCAGAAAATATTTTATGGGCAGTACCCATTCAGCTGCAGTGGCAATTATTGTTGCTCACTCACTTTTTGTGTTTGCTTTTCATGTTACTGGCAGGCGTGATTATGAGACAAAGCCCCCAAAACTCAGGCTGCTAGCAGAAATCCGGGCGTATCCACACAGGAATGATCTCAAGTGGAAGGCTGAGCCAGAAGCACCCATTGATTACTGCTATGTTCGCCCTAATCACATCCCCACTATAAACTCCATGTGCCATGAATTCTTCTGGCCTGGTAAGATTCCTTCAACACTTGGTTTTCTAAGAAGGAAGTGGTTTTATTCAGAAAAAAATATTATTGGGCCAAATCTTTCTTCAGTTAGTGTTTGGCTCTGTTCTTAGAAAACCATTATCTGATGTCATAGGAATGCTGTTGAGATGGTGATATGGGTTTGGTGTCTTTGTCTTTTGGGATCATTTAGAACTGGGCAATTAGTCCCTAAGTAGCACAGCACTTAAACAAATTGGTTGTTTTGGATAACACCATTGCTGCCAATATGGGTAGTCAGTTACTGAAATTAAGCATCCAGTGAAACTTTTTGCAGAATCAGGGGCTGAAGTAAATAGTTTTATACCAGAGGTCTACTGCTCATTAGCTTCATGAGACAGTTTCTTCCTAGCAGCCTTAAGCTGGATATGTTGGAGTGAAATTTGGGAATTGCACTTAAAACTGCAAGCTTCACTGTTATATCCTTTATTTCTTCAAGCTTCAGTATTTGCAAGGTATGGGAAAGCTTGGGTATTGATTTTTATATTTCATTTCTTGAACTGTAGGCTCTTCGGGGACAGTGGCTGCCCTTTATGGGGGCAGTTATGAGGCTGTAGTCTTCAGTTCTTCTGAAATAGTAATAGTGATGTTCATCTACTGCATGGATCAGCTTTTGATCAGCAAACAACACGGCAGACTAATTTAGAAAAGCCCAGTACAAACAGTACACACCTTTATTCCAAGTAACTGTTTGCCTTATGTTTTGATTTGCAGATAGTGATTCAACAGGGTTTGCAGTTCAGCAGTGCTTATGCTGCAGTCAGGATCAGAGCTCTTTGTGCTACTCATTGTCCAAATTGTAC